AAAATAAATTTAACCTGTATACTGAAAGCTACAAAGCATCTTTGAGAGAAATTCAAGAAGACTAACAACTGGCTGGTTCAACATTAGGAAGGGGTACAACAAGGCTGTATATTGTCACCCTGCTCATTTAAATTATATGCAAGTACATTATGGGAAATGCCCAACTGGAAGAAGCACAAGCTGGAATCAAGATTGCTGAGAGAAATATCAACAACCTCAAACATGCAGATAATACCACTCTAATGGCAGAAACTGAGGAGGAACTAAAGAGCCTCTTGATGAGCGTGAAAGAGGAGAGTGAAAAAGCTGGTCTGAAACTCAAATTCAAAAAGCTGAGATCATGGCATCTGGTTTCATCACTTCGGCAAATAGAAGGGGTAAGAGTGGAAACAGTGACAGATTTTGTGGCTTCCCTGGCGGCTCAGTGGTAAAGAATCTGCCTGCCAACGCAGAGGTCTCAGGTTCAATCCCTGGGTCAGGAAGACCCCTGGAGAAGGAAATGGCCTCTCACTCCAGTGTTCTTGCCTGAGAAATCCCATGGACAGAGGAGCCTGGCAGGCTGCAGTCCATGGGGTCACAAAGAGTCAGACACAACTTAGTGACTAAACAATAACAACAGTGACGGTTTTTTTTCTTGGTCTCAAAAATCATTGTGGATGGTGACCACAGCCGTAAAATTAAAGATGCTTGCTCCTTGGAAGGAAAGCTATGACAAACCCAGATAGTATATTAAAAAACAGTGACATCACTTTGCCAACAAAAGTCCATATAGTCAAAGCTATGGTTTTTCCAGTTTCATGTATGGATGTGAGAATTGGACCATAAGGAAGGCCCAGCACTGAAGAACTAGTGCTTTCAAATTGTGGTCGTGGAGAAGACTCTGGAGAGTCCCTTGGACTGCAAGGAGATCCAACCAGTCCATCCTAAAGGAGATCAACCCTGAATATTCATTGGAAGGACTGATGCTGAAGCTCCAATACTTTGGCCACCTGATGCGAAGACCTGACCCATTTGAAAAGACCTTGATGTTAGGAAAGACTGAAGGCAAAAGGAGAAGGGGGCGGCAGAGGATGAGATTGTTAGATAGCACCACCGACTCAATGGATGTGAATTTGAGCAGACTCTGGGAGATAGTGTGCTGCAGTGGGAAGCCTGGTGTGCTGCAGGCTGTGGGGTCACAGAGTTGGACACGACACAGTGACTCAACAACAAGAACAGATAACTGACAAGACAACCATGTTCATGAATTCAAAGACAATATTTCTATGCTAGCAGGACTCCCCAAAATAATGTGCAGATTCAACACAGTCTCTTTCAGAGTTACTAATGCCTTTTTTTGCAACAGTGGACAAGCTGATGCCATACATTGTATGGAAACTCACAAGGCCTTCAGATAGACAAAACAATTTTGTAAAGGAATAACAAAGTTGGAAGAACTATATATCCTAATTTCAAAACTTACTACAGAATTATAATAATCCAAGATCATGATGCTGCCATAAGAACAGACATATGGATCAATGGCATGGAATCAAACATCCTGAAATAAGCCCACCTGTCTACGAATACCATCGAGGGGAACCATCCCAAACCAGACCGCTGCCTCTCACGTGGTCACACGGCTTGTGAAAGACCTTCGCAACTAAAGAGCCTGTGGCCCAAAGCAAGGTGACCTTGGCCCTTGACACCCGGCACCCTGAAGCCGTCAAGGCCAGAGGTGAGCTGAGCCCCAAAGGCTGGGGGTGGTGGCGAGCGAGTCCTTGGCAGACTGAGAAGGCGGTCGTTCGCCATCCTCCCTGCAACGCACAACCTCCAGGGTGGATCCTTGTGGCCCATCAGCGATGTGAAGACCGAGTGTGCCGGCTCTCGCATGCCTGCCCACTTCTGACAGCACCCGGGCGGGCGGGCCAGCCCCCCCACACACCGTCCCGCCTTGCCAGCCCCCAACATCCTGACAGCACTGAGCAAAGGTCCCCTAGCTGTCGCACGGCATCCTGATACTCGACATTTCCCAGAACCCCCGGAGGTCACACGGCAGGTAGTTGGTGACAGAGAGCCTGTCCCCAGGAGCCCAGCTCCAGAACCCACACTCTGAGCCTCCGTGCTTTGCCGCGGGGCTGTTGGGGGGTCAGTGGCCAGAGGGCACTGCCTGTGGCACCAGACAGCCATGAGACACAGCACAGCCGCCCTCAAGGCTCAGCAGGACGCAGAATGGCCAGATGGCAGCGTGTCTGGGCCTGTCCCCCCACCTCCTGCCGCACCCAGCGGGCAGCCTGGGGCGGGGGCCTCACCCTCACCCATGCCCACCCCGTGCCGTGTGGCACGTGGTCTTCTTTCTGACGCTTGAGGACCACGATGCCCTGTGAGCACGGTGGAGACGGGCGGCCGCAGAACGTGATGGCCAGCGTTTTTAGTTTCTTGTTTGGGCTTAGCATGCACCGAGGGATGACCAGTCAATCTCCTGCACGTCCATCCTGAGGCACTGAGTTCTTTTTTCCCCAGACATGTGCTGGTCACACCCGCCTGCCTCCTCAGGGGAGGAGACACTGGTCAGCCTTTGTCAGGAGTACAGGCTGCCTGGGGCTGGGACTGCGTGTCTGCTCTGGGGAAGGGCTGGAGGTCCTTTGAGCGCTTTGTATGAGAAAAGAGAAGAAACCGGGGCACTTAGGGGTGCTTATTAGAAATACCGATCTCACGTAGACTTGTAGTAACCCGGGAGTGGGAGGTTTTCTCGCTGACGGCGGGTTCCTTCCTTGGCGAGATCTCTTGGTGAGCAGGAGACGCAGGGAGCCAGCCTGCTTGACACCGACTGGGGGGCAGGAAGCCTGGAGGCGGGCACTGGCTCCTGCCGGGTGAAGGGTGAACCCCAGGCCCCGGCCAGCACTGCTGGAGCACCCACTCCCAACCATCTTCGTCTCCTAAAGTACCTGGGAGTCCGGAAGGGCACTTCAGGGAGTTTATTCTCATGGTAACAAGCATAATGGCCTTTCTGTTGCAGAGCCTTAGGCAACAGCTCTCCGGAGAGGACAAAGGTAGTAGCTATGGGAAAGGCCCACCCTGGTTCTGGTCCTCCCTCTGCCCCTTGGTGTAAGTTAGCAGAGCATGCCCAGGCTTCAGTCTTGTCATCTGTAAAGTGGGAGCAGCCATGCCTGCCTCCCAAGGCGCTTACACAGGTCAGGTGGGAAGATGCCGCTGGCCGCCCACAGAGGCTCATCTCAGGCTGCAGAGAGGGCAGAGGCCGAGAGCAGGGCTGGCCCGGCGCCCTCCGTGTCCTTCCAGCCCAGTTTCTCTGCGTGCCTTGGTCCTGACTCCAGCCTCTGACATGGTCAGCTCAAGGGTAGAAGGTGTGTCCTGCCCCCTCCCACCCCGGGCATGAGTTTGGTCCATCTCTTTATCCAGAGTGTTCTCGGACCCGATATCCCCACACCCCAGGCAGGGTGGAGACCTCAGCAGGTGGGACCGGGGGGCTGGTGGGGCCCTCCCACCCGACCCGCAGCACCCAGTGCGGGAGAGCGGAAGCAGGACGGGGAGGTGGCCCCCAGGTCATTGGCCGAGCTCCAGAGAGGTCCGGAGGCCCCCGGTGTGGATAGAGCGGATGGAATGGAGTTCTCCTGGGACACAGTGAAGGCCAAGCCTCGCCCCAGACACATGTTCTGCCCTCCTTAACCCGCAGCCCTGTTGTCAAATGCGCCACCTTTGCTGAGAGCTGAGGGTCTGGAGGTCTGCAGGTCACTCAGGATTAACACCTGCCTTTCTCCCTGGACTCTGCAGGGAGGCAGGCATGCTCTAGGTGGCTGCCAACTGAAAGTGAAAGTCACTCAGTCATGTCTGACTCTTTGTGACCCCATGGACTATACAGTCGATGGAATTCTCCAGGCCAGAATACTGGAGCGGATAGCCTTTCCCTTCTCCAGGGGATCTTCCCAACCCAGGGATCGAACCCAGGTCTCCCACATTGCAGACGGATCCTTTACTAGCTGAGCCACAAGGGAAGCCCAAGAATACTGGAGCGGGCAGCCTATCCCTTCTCGAATCAAGCCAGGGCCTCCTGCATTGCAGGCTGATCCTTTACCAACTGAGCCACCAGGGACGCCCCCAGCCAAGTGCTCCGGAAAGGGCAGCCTCGGCCGTGGGAGTGTGGCCCCTGCCCATGAGGTGGCTGCTGGCTGGGGGCTGCCAGGACGATCCCTGAGCTCGCCCCCGCCCCCGCCCGGGCACCACGGCGTCTGGTCTGTGGCCACTGGGCTGCCCTGCTGCCGCTTGCTGGCCTGGGACCTGACCTCCAGGCCTCGCCTACCCTCCTCTGTAAATGCTCACAGGCGGCTCTTCAGCCCAACCGAGGTCCCTCTAGACCCTGACCGCTCCCCTCCCCTCAAACCCCAGGAGGCCAGATAAAGCCAGCCACCTTCATCCCAGCTCAGCCTTCACAGCGAGCAGAGATCAGGATGCAGGAAGCAGCAGAGGGCAGAGAGAGGCTCGCGGGAGGTGGGGAGAGACGCAGGCAGAGGCAGGAAGGGCAGACTGGCAGCAGCTTCTCCGTCATGTGGTTTTCTACAGCCCATCTCCTGGAGGAGGGGGTGCTCTGCTGAGATGGAAGCGAGCCTTCCGACTTCATCACGGCTTCCTGAGAACTCGCTGGTCTCAGCACAAGGTTGAAGAGGACTCTGTTCCTCACGTTTGCCCACCTGGTTTGGAAATCAAGGGGCCGGGCGAGGCTGAATCACTTATTCAAGGGCAGGGAACGCGGCCGCTGGCTTTGAGATAGGAGTCCGCGGCTGCCTCAGCACTGCTCACCCCGTTGTTATGCCCGCCGGGTCCTCTGCACCTGCCTGTCATGCTTGATTTCTGAAACGCGCTCCCCACCTACCCCCGCCCCGCCGAGGCTGGGTTTCATCTGGCCCTGAAGCCGCCGTCAAAGGCGGTCCCCTGACCCACGTGTTCGCAGGCAGCCTGGCAAGCTTTGCTGTCCCGTTGCTAACCCTCCTTCGGGCTCTCTGCAGAACAGCCCCAGTGCTTGGCCAGCCCGTGGACACTTGGGTGATTATCCAGGGCAGCCACACGGGGGCCCGGAGCGTGGAGAATGTGTATGTTCACAGTGCAAACCTGTTTCCCAAGGTGAGGGAGTGGAGTCTGGTTGCTGCTACGCTAGCCCCTCTCCCGGCGCTTTTCGAATGGGGGCTTTTTGGACAGTGGTCTTGTGCTGAGCCCCTGTGTCCTGCGATGGCCACCTGGGCTCTGGTTTAATGAGGGACCCAGGACTGACATTCTAGACACCGGCTCTGGGGTGCCCTTCCCAAACCCTAGTGCTGCCCATCAAACACATAGGCTGGGGCACCCTTTTCGCCCCTGAAGATGAGCTTGCAGGTCTCCGTGGCTTCTCCCTGGAGCGCTTCTGCCAAGATTCGATGGAGTGGTTTATCTTGTGGCCCGGAAGGCCCCACATCCGCGTGTGTCTGTTGGTGTCATCGGCACCACCCTTGACCTTGATAACCATGCTCCCCAGTGTGGCTTGACCGTGCCGCCTGCACAACCCTGCTCCCCTGGCCTAACTCCTCCCGTTCACTGTCTCTCCCCCTCATCATCACAAGGCCTCCTCCCTCCCCAAGCTCAGCAAAGCCCACTTACTCTGCAGATCCATTTACTAAAGCCCAGACTGCAGGAGGCTTTCGCTCACAGGCCGCCCTGAGTGTGCAAGACCCATCCCAGTCCCTTGAATACTTTATTCTCAGTCCGAATGTAAACAAAAAAACTCGTTCAAAATGTCCTTGTGAGATCGGTGTGATACATCCTGAAATCTTGCAATTACTGGATTATTTAGTGAGGTGGGGAAGGGCAATTTTTAAACATTTGTATCAAGGTATGTTCTGCCTGGGCTTCCCTGGGTGGCTCAGCAGTAGTCTGCCTGCAACGCGGGAGATGTGGGTTCCATACCTGGGTTAGGAAGATCCCCTGGAGGAGAAAATGGCAAACCACTCCAGTGTTCTTGCCTGGGAAATCCTATGGACAGAGGAGCCTGGTGGACTGCAGTTCATAGCGTTGCAAAGAGTCAGACACGACTGAACATGCACACATATTCTGGAAACAGTGTCTTGCATGCATCTGAGGGAGCCAGGAGTTCCAGAAGTTCTGACAACCACATACACATGTGTCACCTTCTTTCCTGTGGTTACATTTCTGTCTCCCCAAGAAGTGGCCTCGGACCCTTCCAGCTGATCTCTGTTAAACAGTGTTCATGGGTTTGCTCTCTGTCAGGACAAGACATTGTTCAGTCACAAAGTCGTGATCGACTCTTTGCAACCCCCATGGACTGCAGCACACCAGGCCTCCCTGTCCCTCACCATCTCTCAGAATTTGCCCAAGTTCATGCCCATTGAATCAGTGATGCCATCCAGCCATTTCATCCTCTTGCCACCCTCTTCTGCTTTTGCCTTCAAGCTTTCCCAGCATCAGGGTCTTTTCCAATAAGTCCACTGTTTGCATCAGGTGACCAAAGTATTTATATAAATAGCATTGCAGCATATGTACTGTTTTTATGGCTGACATCTATTACTCAAAAAATTACTTAAAAAGGTTTCTGCTTCTGTCAATGGTATTTTTGTGTGCATACTTATTCTTTCAAAGGAATGTCTGAAATACATTTTCTCATCAGTGGCTGTTTTTAATTTTTTAGCCACTAAGACCTCGACGCATGGTACACGTCAGATGCATGGGTCAAGCTTGGTACATGTCCAGATGATTCTGGTTCTGAAGCTGAGGTTCAAGTTCAGACTCAAGTTCAGCTGACCAGGGTCAAATCTTAGTTTGTCACTGACTTGTCATGTATCCTGGGTTGTTTGACCTCTGTGTGTTTGACCTCAGTCACCCCGTCAGCGTCATGGGGATAATTATAGTGCCTGCCTTGTATCATAATTTTGAGGATTAAATGAGCAGGATATGCAGCACCATGACAGATACCTAAGCTTCTAAATAAAGGCCTGAATTCTAGGTAAATGTCATCTGTTGTTTTTGAAGGAAAAAAATCACCAAGCATTTAAAGGGTGAAAATTTTCTCCAGGTTCATGTACTGTGGAGTCAGGTTCAACAAGCTCATGTGAAAACTATTGTGTGCGCACATCGTATTGGCTTCAGTGTCCTTTAATCAAGTGAATGATCAGAGAACGTCATCAGTCTCTGCAGTAATACTGGTACTGAGCCAGCCCTTTGGGACAAACAGGAACAAAGTTGTTTCTGGAAAGACAACGCAATTATTTTCTTATGATGTAGTGTAAAATAATGTATGTTCCTATGGGGTCCATTCTGTGGCCGGGTGAGTGGCACGACTCTGCAGAACAGGATGAAATGATATTTCTTCTTTGATTCTGGGGAAGCAGACTCATCTCGTAGACGTCTTTTGCATCCCTTGTAACTTTCATGTTCGGTACCTATGAGGTGATACTCAGGAGTCATTTTCATGTGTGATCACAGAAGCTGAAGAGCGGTGACGGTCCCTGGGGTGTTTTGCGCTGCATTCCAAGTCCCAGTCCCTGGACTTTCAGGGTCAGCCATTGGTCTCCGCCTAGATGGTCTGGCAAAGAGAAGGGCATGCCCTGTATGCTCCTATAACATGGAGTGGCTCTTCCTGAAATCAAATAATTATATAGCTGCACATCAGTGGGTGACATCTGACAGGGGCAAAAAAGATAGTTATGTTTCTGAAAATGGTCATCCTTTGTGGAAATGCGCCCTCAACCCCTCCCTCCTCCTGCTAACACTGCTCTAAGAGTAAAAGTTGGGAAAACCTTCCACTAAGTGTAAACAGTCTTTGTAAGGACATCTTTTTTTTAAAATTGAGGTAACACTGGCTTATAACATTGAGCTTCCCAGGTGGCGCTAGTGGTAAAGAACCTGCCTGCCAGTGCAGGAGACACAAGAGACACAGGTTCGATCCCTGGGTTGGGAAGATCCCCTGGAGAAGGGAATGGCAACCCACTGCAGTATTCTTGCCTGGAGAATCCCATGGGCAAAGGAGCCTGGTGGGCTACAGTCAGTCTATGAGGTCGCAAAGAGTTGGACACGACTAAGTGACCAACACTTTCACTTTTTCATGTGTATCTGTATTTTTCAGATCCTTTGCCATTATCAGCTTTCTACATGATATTGAATGTAGACGCCTGTGCTATACAGTAGGTCATAGGTCTTTGTTGTTTATCTGTTTTATATCTATTAGTGTGTATTTGTTAATCCCAAACCCCTAATTTATCCAGCATTGTATTTTGAATTCTCTATACACTATAGTGTGCTTACGACTGAAAGGTTCCATCAGTCACCGTAAAGTTAAACCCCTCTACCATTTCACCTTCTCCATCTTCCCCTCTGGTAACCATTACCATGTTTGGTTCGATTTGTTCTTTTTCTTTTTAATGTTCTGCATATGAGTAAAACCATATGGTATTTGTTTTTCTCAATCTTGCTTATTTCACTTGGCATAATACCCTCAAGATCCATTCATGTTGTTGCAAATGGCAAAACTTCATCTTTTTATGGCTAAGTAGCAGTACACTGTGTGTGTGTGTGTGTGTGTTTAGACATCCTCTATATCCATTCATTCACCAGTGGGCACTTAGATTGCTTCCATACCTTTGTTGCTGTTCAGTCTCTCAGTCATGTCCAACTTTTGTAGCCTCATGGACTAGAGCACACCAGGCTTCTGTGTCCTTCACTATCTCCCAGAGCTTGCTCAAACGCATGTCCATTGAGTCAGTGATGCCATCCAACTGTCTCATCCTCTGTCGTCCCTTTCTCCTCCTGCCTTCAGTCTTTCCCAGCATCAGGGTCTTTTCAAATGCGTCAGTTCTTCACATCAGGTGGCCAAAGGATTGGAGTTTCAGCTTCAGCATCAGTCTTTCCAATGAATATTCGGGTTGATTTTCTTTAGGATGGACTAGTTTGAGCTCCTTGCTGTCCAAGGGACTCTCAAGAGTCTTCTCCAGCACCGCAGTTGGAAAGCATCGATTCTCCAGCGCTCGGCCTTCTGTAACGTCTCGAGCTCTAGAAGTGTGTAAAGCGCCCCCAAGGCTCCCTGGTCAGTAAATGGTACACATGTTATCACCTTGCTGTGCCCAGATCCCCCTGAATTCCCGCCTCGTCCCTGTTTGGCAGAATGTCTTATACTTTGATCATTTTCCCAAGCCCTGGGGTCCTCCCTCGGCCCCCAAACCTGGACTGGTTCCCTGGACCCTGCAGCTGGATCCTCAGACGTGAATTTCCTGTCCCCAAGCCTGAGTATCATCTGCCTCTCAGGCTAAAATGAGACCTTGTATGTCGCGGCCCCCTGCCTGGATTTGAAGTTATCTGGCCTCAGCTCTCCTGCCTGGCAGAGCCTTCCTCCCTCAGCCAGCCTGCCCCTGAGAACCATCAGCGTCATCCCATCCCCTAGCCCTTTCCTCAAACTCTGACCTGGCCCAAGAGCCAGGACTGGCTGGGGGCAGGGGGTGGCATGTACCTGCAGGCTCATTTCCAGACAAATCAGAACCACCAGCTTCCAGAAGCAACTCAGGGCCACCGTCAATGAGAGCAGGAGGTTGGAGGCTGTGGGCTTCCCAGGAACAAAGAGCCCGTCGTTTTTGCCTTCCAGACAGTCCTTTAGAGTGGCAAGCCCTCCTTCTCATTAAAGGTCCAATGACAGTTTTCATTAGAGGTTTGTCCCGGTGTCCTTGGTAATACATTAGTCCTTTCCAGACTGGAGTTTCCACACCGCCCGACTGTGAGAGTGAGCGGCCTGACCTGGTAGAAACTGCAGGTTCTTGACCTGTGTGAGCCGTGTGTCAGCGCGGGTCACTTCTCCTAACATCAGTGTCCATCAGACGCTGAGCAGAACTCTGCCAAGGAGCCCCGTCTTCGAGTCTCCTCTTTTCCCCCATTTATGATCCACTACAAAAGGTTTCGACATGTCTTTGGTGTGAGTTAGACTGAGTGTAGATAAAGACACCGTATAAAGAGACTTCTCCGGTCCTCGGGTTAGTTACCCTAACAGTCTCTTCAGAATGGACAACTTCATCACCAGTTGATGTCTAAAGATACTGAGGGTTAATCCGCATCATGTACTCTGGGAAGTTAGCGATCAGGTTTTATCCACCACGGCACAGGCTGTTCTTACTTTTCAGATTTTAAACTCAGAAATTTCAAGTTCATTTTAAATGTCAGAAGAGTCTATTTATACTCACTCACAGTCTACATAAAACCTAGTACCTAAATATGGTAGGTATTTCTGAGGCAAAACAAACGTGTGGAAATGGTATGAAAAATTCATTGAATTGGTTGAACATTAGGCCAACTATTTCTTCAATGCAAAGCCCTCCCTCAGATGTGGTTTTTTTTTTTTGCAAGTCCTGTTTTCATTTAGTTAACAGTTGTCAGTGGAATAGTTATGGGGCTGGAGTCCTCAGTGAAAGGAGCCAGGCAGAAAAGGCAAAGCCATCAAGAGAGAAGGACCTTCCCTGGTTCGTCAGTGGTGAAGAATTCACCTGCAATGCAGGAGGCACAGGTTCAGTCCCTGGTTCAGGAGTGCCCTCTGGAGAAGGAAATGGCAACCCGCTCTAGTAGTCTTGTCTGGGAAATCCGGTAGACAGAGGAGCCTGATGGGCTATAGTCCATGGGTCGCAGTAGAGTAGGCCACGGCTGCATGGCCAAGCCCGCACACACACGCACATAGAGAAGGGAAGCAGGCGAGTGATGGCCTGGGTGTGGCAGTGGGAGCTGAGCACAGATGCATGTGGGGGGGCCCTGGCCGGTGACACAAAGGCTGCAACGGTGAGTTGTGGTGATGGCTGCACAGCTCTGTAAATGTCCTCAGAATTGTTGAAATGCATATAAACTTAAATAGGGGAATTGTATATTAATTACACCTCAATAAAGCTGTTCAGGGGGGAAAAAAAGGTTTAGTACTGCCCTCCCCTGCCCGGGGGGAGGGGCGGAGCTTTATTAAGTTTATTAAGAAAACTAGAGAAAACATAGAACAAGAAAAGGCCACATCACTGGGGCCCCCAAAACCACCACAGGTCTCCTGCCGCAGTCGTCAGAGGGAACAGTATTCCGGCCTGGGATGAGGGCCGGGGACTCTGGACCATCTCTAGTCCTTGGTTTCCAAAGTGAAAGTCACTCAGTCGTGTCCGACTGTTTGTGACCCCATGGATTATGCAGCCCTTGGAATTCTCCAGGCCAGAATACTGGGGTGGGTAGCCTTTACCTTCTCCAGGGGATCTTCCCAACCTAGGTATCGAACCAGGATCTCCTGCATTACAGGCAGATTCTTTACCAGCTGAGCTACCAGGGAAGCCCAAGAATCCTGGAGTGGGTGGCCTATCCCTTCTCCAGCAGATCTTCCCAACCCAGGAATCGAACCGTGGTCTCCTGCATTGTAGGTGGGTTCTTTACCAACTGAGTTATCAGGGAAGCCCTAGACTTAGGTTTCCAAAGACCTTCAGGTAAATAGGGGACCTGCCGGGGCTCCCAGGTACTTGAAGTAGCCTGAGACTCCTTCCTCCTGAGACTCCAATACAGTCTATCGTATCCCCGGCTCCGAGAGGGGCCTCTGACCATGAGAACAGATGTGTGAACAACCCGGCGAGCTGTAGAGATGCTGCCAGTGGGGCTAGATTTGAAATCCTGGATCAGGGCAGGTGGCTCAGGGTCCCAAATGTATCAGCTTGGCCAAAAAGTTTGGGGTTTCCTGTAACGTCTTAGGGAAAACCCAGACGAACTTGTTGGCCAACCCAGTATTTGGAGAAGAAGCCCGTTCAGGGGAAGCCTCCATGAGGACAGGTTTCCGGAGGCCGGAGTTGCAGAGGAGGCCTGATGGAAGCGGGTTGTCACAGACGGGGCTGGCTCGTCACACAGGAACCTCCAGAAGCCAGAAGGAGATTCCAAGCTCCACCTGGACCCTCCCGCCCCGTCGTGGGCCTCCTTCACACGCAGGTCCCAGTATGATCTGGTGATGGACATAAGGCTGTTTTCACCATCAGGAGACTGTTACGTGGTTTTTGGAGTCTTGAGAACATCTCCTTCCTGAATGTCTTAAACATGGACTGTAAACCAGCCAGACCTTCTTCAGCATAGGAACCAGGAGACTGTGTCAAATCCAGAACGTACTCCTGTGCATTTTAATTCCAGCGAGTGGTAACAGGTGTTTCTGGAAACTGAGGTGTGTTTGAGAACCAAAGTAAACACAGTGGCTTCTGCCAGTAAGGGGTGTGGACTCTGTGCTCCGAGCAAGACAGTGCTTCCCAGGCTTACTTAACAGAACCTTCCCAAAGAAATACCTTCTGAACGTCAAGGTCCACATTTTGGGAAGCTCTCCCATGGAGAGCTGAAAATATATACATATATGTCTGCATATACTGTACTGTTTGTGCATCTACACACACGTATCTGTGATGTCACCACCAGTCAGCATAGGATGTATTACATACAGTCTTCCTACATATATGGATGCTGAAGCTCCAATACTTTGGCCACCTGATGCAAATTGCTGACTCAATGGAAAAGACCCTGATGCTGAGAAAGATGAAGGCAAAAGGAGAAGGGGATGACAGAGGATGAGATGATTAGATTCTATCACCAACTTAGTGGACACGAATCTGAGCAAACTTTGGGAGATTAATGAAGAACAGGGAAGTCTGGTATGCTGCAGTCCATGGGGTCACAAAGAGTTGGACACGACTTAGCAAATGAACAACAACAATGCAAAGTTTTTGAAAAGAAACAGTGCTTTAAAAACTATTTTATAGCCTTTTTTTTAAGCCATCACTAGTATTACATCATGATCCGCTTTCTTTCATTGCATATTTCTTTTAGAACCTGATTTTTAATGAAGTCACAGTAGTTCATCTGATTTCGGTCCTTCACCTTTGAACTTTGGGAACATTTGTACTGAAATGCTGAAAGGAGGTTGCAATGAGCATATTTGTGTGTCCTTCTTTGAGGGGCTTACAACTCGTTTCTTTCTCAGGAAAGAGTTCCTAGAAGGAGCATTACTAGACCAAAGGTGGTGGATTTTTTGAAGAATTTAAATGGTGTCAGTTTTCTCCCCAAAGGTGGTACCCTCTGCCCTGCAGCCCCCCGCCAAGCATGCTGCCCTTGTCTCCACCCTTCACCACGTGCTCCTCGGCCTCTTGGAGCTGGTCCACGTGTCCCCTGCAGGGTCACGATTGGACGTCACCGCTTTGATCGGGTCACTTCTCTCCCCAGACACCTGCTCTGTCAGCCAGACTTCTCCTAAGCAGCAGAACCAACTCTGTGTGTGTGTGTGTGTGTGTGTGTGTGTGTACAGGCATGCACACACACATGCACATATGCATGTATAAGGAGAAAAATGTATTTTAAGAATGGGCTTATGTGATAGTGAAGACTGACAAATTTGAAATCTGTAGGGCAGGCCAGAGGCTGGGTACTCAGATGGAAGTTAGTGCCGCAATCTTGAGGCCAAAATCCTCCAGGAAACCTCCAGGTTTCTCCTCCTCCGAAGGCCTCCAACTGATTGGGTGTGACCCACCCACTTGGTTGAGAATGATCTTCACTTAAAAGCAGCTGACTGTCGATGATGTTAACCATTCACAGTAACACCTAGACATGTGTTTGGTGAAATCGCTAGGCCCCACAGTCTGGACAAGTGGAGAGGCGGAGTTGAGCATCATCGCCGCCTGGGTTCTGATGGCCAGGAGAATGCATCCCAGGAGAAGTTACTGGAGGGAGGAGGGTTCATTTTATTGGGTCCTTTTGCCATGTAAGGGATAATCTCCCTGGATAAATATTACTACCAAGTGCCTCTTGAGCGACTTTGGTGTCTCCTGACATCCTCACATTTTTGGTCCTTACCTGGCTCCTGTAACTTGATGCTCTCACACCCTGAATCCTGTCTGCCCTCTGGGTTAGAGCAGTCCTGTACTTGAGCCAGACTGCTCACTCTCCAAAGGCTCCCGCCCTGGGCCAAGTCGTTGACCTTGGTCACACCTTCCTTTCCACCCGGAGCAGCCCTCATCCCGTGTGATCAGATGGGTAACCACCCCACTGCCCGCCTCTCCTCGCCACCAGCTCTGCCTTCGTCCCAGCAGGAGGTGTGGCCCCACGCAGTGACCTCGGAGCTCGAGCGGTGAGGTTCCAGTCCTGTCGTCACAAGGGGCAACACCACACAGAGCTCCAGCCCACACCTGGGCCTGGGGACACCAGGCCCACCCTCGGGGGGTCTCGCTGCCACGGGAGGAGACAGACCTGCTTAGGAAAGGCTTGAGAAGGTGGCACATGCAAAACTGCAGCGGGAGGAGGGGAGGAGGGAATCCCAGGGAGGCTTCATCCAGGAGAGAAAGAAACCCCAGGCAGGAAGTGGCCAGACACGTTAACAGGTGTCTCACTGATGCTGAAGACCGATATCCGAGGCCGGCGCAGTCAGAAATCGTGATGGGTCTGAGGTCCTTCTGAACAGCAAGTGAGCCTGCCACGGCTCCATGGAGCTGGTTCAGGTTGTGACTCCTGGGTCAGAAACATAAAAAAGCCCCAACTTTCCCGGTGGTCCGGTGATTGAAGAATCTGCCTGTCGATGCAGGAGGCACAGATTCCATCCCTGGTCGGGGAAGATCCCACGGGCCACAGAGCAGCGAAGCGCCTGAAGCAGAAGTCCTGAGACCCCGTGCACTAGAGCCTGTGCTCTGCAACAAGAGGAGCCACCCCAACGAGAAGCCAGACTCTGCAACTAGAGAGTAGCCCGTGCTCAGTAACGGAGACCCAGCATAGCCGAAAAATGAAAATAAAGAAAGAAAAGCTCTTCCCTGTGGTGCCCCACAGTTCCCCGTGGGGCCAGATGGTATCCACACACACAGCACGACGGGAGAGGAGCCCTGTGCTTGGAGAAGCCGTCAGAGATGGGCAGAAAGTTCTTTACTGCTGCAGCCCATCTGGTGGGGGCTGTCCCGTCTGCAGGGACTCCGAGAACGATAATCAGACGCGAAGATAGTTAAGCCTCTGCTGGAAGATCGTGCAAATGCAAGTGGCCAGTGAAGGATGGTTCGCCGAGAAGAGGAAGGAAGGTAGGACAGATGGCCTCTTTCCTCAAGTCTCCAGCCTCAGTTCTGGAGAGTCCAGAACCCTCCCGACTTGGGGGCTTGGAGGGGCAGCTGGGGAGGAGATCCGGAGGGCAGTTTGCAGTGTGGGGGCCTATGGAGTCCTCAGGCCGAAGGCACAGAAGGTTCCGTGGAGACCCCGTGTCCACGAGGGGCGGGGGCTGCCCGATGTCCAGGGCGCTCCCCGACGTGTTTCACTCAATCGTCTTCCTGATGGTGTGGATTTAGATGTCTACCGCTTCGGTAACAAACGACCGCAAACTCCATGCCTTTAAGTCACACACATTCCTCGTCTCTCAGTTCTGGGTGTCGGAAGTCCAAAGTGGATTGAGGAGTCTGCGTTCCTTCTAGAGCCACCCGCTGGCCTTCTCCAAGGGAAGGCATCCGCTTACGCCAGCCCCTGGCTCTGCTTCGCTGACCCGTGTGCCTGTCCCCACAGGCCCTCTGACTCCAGGCCCCCCGCCCCAGCAGTGTGGTCATATGTACTAAGAATTAGCACGTGTGCACAGGTCCAGAGAGTCTTAATCTGTCCACCACACCATCCTTTTCTCTTCAGTTATTGTGGCCCCACCATCCAACCCCCCAGTCGCAGCCCTGCCCGCGTGTTTCTCTCCATCCAGAGGTCGAGCTTGTGGGCACGTCCCAGCCTGGGCTGAGGATGGAGCTGTCTCTTGGAAGGAAGACCATGTAAAGTTAGAAACGGGGGAGGGGGGAGTCCCAGGCTAGAATGAGGGCTGGGACCAGGGAGGCTGGGTCAGACTCTGCTCTATCAGTGACCACCCAGAGCCCCAACTTCCTCACTAAGGAAAAGCTGAGAATAGCAACACGTGCCTGGCCTACCCAGTAGACTATTGTGAAGCTCATGAGAAATTCTGGGGCGTGCGCTTCTGAACCATGTACGAGTTTAAAGTGTTGCTACTCTCCAACAATCACATATGTGCATCACCGTGTGTAAAACACATGGCTAGTGGGAAGCTGCTGTGTGACAGAGGGAGATCAGCTCGACGCTCTGTGACGACCCAGAGGGGTGGGATGGTCGGGGGAGGCTCACGACGGAGGGGCTATATGTATACATATAGCTGATTCACTTCGTCATACCGCAGAAACTAACACAGCATTGTAAAGCAATTACACTCCAATTGAAAAAGATGTTGCCACGGTCTGTCACATTTTCAAGATTTATTTTATTGGAGTGTATTTTGGGGGCTTCCCAGGTGGCGCTAGTCATAATCCACCTGCCAGTGCAGGAGACATAAGAGACGCGAGTTCGATCCCTGGGCTCAGTAGATTCCCATGGAGGAGGGCAAGGCAACCCTCCCCAGTATTCTTGCCTGAAGAGTCTCATGCACAGAGGAGCCTGGCAGGCTGCAGTCCATGGGGTCGCAAAGAATCGGGCACAGCTGAAGCACCTTAGCACGCACACACATGTAGTTGATGTACAGTGCTTGTTTTAGTTTCAGTTGTACAGCACAGTGATGCAGTTTTACATATATTTGCATATTCTTTGCATTATGGTTTGTTACCGGATGTTGAATATAGTTGCCTGTGCTACACTGCACAACCTTGCTGCTAATCCATTCCATATATGATGGTTTGTGTCAGCTGCGTCGGCTGATCCCAGACTCCCTGTGTGTCCCTTTTTTAATCTCGTGTCCCTTCCGTTTGACCAAGAGCTTCTCTATGTGTCAAGATGGGGATAAAATGTTGGCCAGTTGTCAGGCAGATGCCACTCCTCTTGGTAAGAAGTCACCAAGTCAGGAGCGAGAGCTCCTGTAGAGCTTTTCCTGTAGAAATGCATGACTTCTGCTTTGAAATGACTTACTAGTGAACGTTTGTGGATGGTGGAACATATAATGTTTCCGTCTGCTGAAAGTTCTGCAGTTTTGTGCCGGGCAATCATCTGTATAAAATACTTTTTTTCTTTTAAGCAGAATCCTATTGCTAATGAAACCATATTTTGAACATGAAATTGTTACAAAGAAAAAAAAAATGTCATTATCCAGAAAAGCAGCAATAGCTCCTGCATTTGATGGTCTAAATAGAATATTCCTTTTCTGGGGGAGATGAAAGCGATCCCCTCGTATCAGCCTATGAAATTATTTGAGGATTGCGTTTTAATCCCTGGAACGAGAAAGGGAAACGGAACCCTCACGTAGATTCCAGGCCTGGGAAGTCAAATCTGAAATGTAGAGACAGGGTATATGGGCTATCACGCCTCATCACTAATCCAAAAGAAATATGAAAAAAATGGAGTTGTTTTAATGTTGTAAAAAGGCAGCTTGAAAGGTAAGGCTTCCTTCCTGCGGTTTCCCCTGGTGCCCTTTCCCCGATCACATTCGCTAGATGTCCATTTCTGTAAGTTTTCCCTCTAGAACAAACCTATCATTTTTCACCACAGGATATTTACAGCTTCAATCAGTGCCAAATTCAATTGGCTTCTGATCTCATCGCTGGAAGTTATAGATGCAGATATTATTTGCACTGCGGTTAATTATGGAGCAATCAAACTTTGGCTTTTCCACTGTAATTTCCTCTGCCAGCTAATTTAATTAATCACCCCCAGCTCAGCTCTTCCAGCTGCGACCAGCAGGGTCATTAATTAGGCATGTGGCGGTGGCTCACGGACCAGGTCCTGCTTCGAGGCCGCTGCCCATTTGATCTCCCAGGGAGGGAGAGCTTTTCCCAGGCATCCAGGCAGCTGAGGGCTAGGGAAGCATCACTCCACCCCCCTCCACAGAAAGGAAGATGATCCCCAAGAGGCGGGTCAGGGGCAAACAGATCACCTGCAGTGGCGATTGGATTATGAATCTCACCAAGTTTAAAGAAGAGAGGATGGACGGACCTGGAAATTATCATACTAAGTGAAATAAGTCAGACAGAGAAAGACAAATATCGTATGATGTGCAGAGTCTAAAATAAATGATACAGATGAGCGTATTTACAAACCAGAGACAGACTCACAGAGAACAAACTTATGGTTACCAGTAGGGAAGGGATAGGAAATTGAGTTCAACGTGTACACACCACTTTGTTTAACATGGATGACCAACAAAGGGGATTGTTGGTTATCTTAACATACAAAGACCTACTGTATAACACACGAAACTCTACTCAACACTCTTTGATAGCCTAAATGGGGAACGAACTTGGAAAAGAATATATAAATGTATATGTAGAACTGAATCACTTTGTTGTGCACCTGAAATTAATACAACATTGTTCATCAGTCATACTCCAATATAAAATAAAATTTTAAGAACAAAGGAAGAGCAAGGAGGCCTCACCTTCTAGACTGGCTGACTCAGTGAATTTACAGGTGAATCCGTGATTGACAGAGGATTGGTCTTGGGTTTTCCATTGTCCTATGTGAAATGAAAGTCTCTCAGTCGTGTCCGACTCTTTGTGACCCAATGGACTATACAGTTCATGGAATTCTCCAGGCCAGAATACTGGAGTGGGTAGCCTTTCCCTTCTGCAGGGGATCTTCCCAACCCTGGGATCGGGCCCAGGTCTCCCACACTGCTGGTGGGTTCTTTACCAGCTAAGCCACAAGGGAAGCCCTTCCCTTGTCCTGTGTGTTCCCCGTAATGCAGCCATCAGTGTGGGGAGCTGGGTTTGTCGCATGTCAGGGTTGGTTCCTATGCAGTCCTATCGTATCAGTATTATGACTTTGGAGGCTGACTTTTTTCCTAAGGGAAAGTTTAAAGGATAGTTTTTGTTTGGTCATAAAGAAGTGACTTTTTTTGGTCTGCACTCATCAAAGGAGCCCTGCACGTTTCAAGTGGTTCTCCTGTTGCCTTGCTTTGAAGAGACTATTTTCAAGCAGTTAGCAGCTCACCTTTGCTATGTAGAGAATACCTCACCCCCTGTTACTAAGAATGTATCACTGGGATTCCACATAATCATGTGTGTGTGTGTACATGCATACACAGAGAGAAATAATCACTCTAATTTGAGAAGCTTTTTATAATTACTCCTAAATAGAGAAGTAGAGTTTCTTATAATTATGTGGGGTTTTTTTAACTTAATATATTCCATAG